GGAGGAAACAATCGTTGGAGAAGGATGTCATGCTGGGTAAGGTGGAGGGTCAGAGAAAAAGAGGAAGACCCCCAACGAGATGGATCAGCCAGGTGACATCATTGATGGCGTCAAGTGTGGCAGCGGTAGTGAGGTTGGCCCAGGATTGGACATTGTTTCATTCTGTTGTGCATGGGGTCGCTATGAGTCGATTCCGACTCGATGGCACCTGACAACAACAACAAACATCTTTCTGATATTCTCTGCTTTCAGCCATGATCCATCAGACATCATCAATAATATCCCTCATTCTATGGCCTCTTGTGAATCCGGCTTGAACCTCTGGAAGTTCTCTGTCAATGTATGTTTGCAGCCACTTCTGTATTACCTTTAGTCAAACTTTACTCTCATGGCATATCAAAGAGATTGTCCAATGTTTTCCTCATTCCACTGGGTCACCTCTCTTTGGAATGGGCACAAATACGGATCTCTTCCAATGTCTGGCAATATTCAGGTGCTCTTTATGAGGTTTCAGAATTCAATAATCTCCTCCTGACAATGTTCCACTGCTATTCATAAAGTTTTCAGTGACTAAATATTTGGAAGGAATCCATCTCTCATTTTACCAAAAAACAGCTGTCTGGAAGCTCAGCTGAAACTTGCACACTATAGGTGATCCTGCTTGTATAGCATAGCTTGGCATAGCTTCCAGATTCGTAGCAACACGCAAGCCACTACAGTAAGATAAACTGACATACAAGTGGTGGTTTTCATAAATTGTGTCGTTTGGTAACGAAGAACAATTTTTTTCCCCTCGGTTCTTTTTAATTTGTTTTGGGCTTTTTTGTTGAAAGGCTGTGTGGCTTGTGAACTAATCACTTCATAAATAAATGTTTGATTAGAAATTTGGATACAAATGAAATCTTAAAGTATGGAGTCTTAGCTTCCTGTACAGTGGTTGTTAACTCTTGAAAGGCGTCTTGCTATAAATGATTTGTTAAATTCTGTTAATCTGTGAATGTGAATTTTTATTTATAGCACTTTTATTCAACAAGTTATTGAGTCCCTATTATGTGCTGGAATAGTGAGCAGAAGAAACATGACTGTTGTTAATGTAGGCTGCATCCAGATAGCTAAGAAGACAGTGAGAGTAGCCTAGAATCCAGTGATTGAAGGCAATTATGAAGCTGTGTCTGAGCAATCCTGGTTTGGAAAGCATTATAGGCTTTTGCTAATAATTATGTTCAAGTAAATGCTTTGAAGTTCAGAACCCTAAACAATCATTCTCTGTGGGTCTGATGAGAAGAATACATAGTATAATTGCCAATTTCCTCCTGTTGTCTTTCTAATGTTCTGTTGAATTATGATTGCAGATTCTTCCCCTCAGTGTGCAATTTTGCCTAATTTTCTGTCCGCTAAGGCTATTTTTCCCAGCTGGGGTCTTTGCCTTCGTAAGATGCATCCTAGAGGCACACTTCCAAGGCACTAAAGACCCTCGGGAATTCAGAGTTGTTGTTGACTGCCGTTGAGTAGGTTCTGACTCATAGCGACCCTGTATGGAGTTTCTGACCTTGCGGCTCAAATTGACCTTGTGGCCTAGAGCATTATCCTGCAGCACCATACCTGGAGTCCAAGATTCAGAGTAGCAGAGATAAATCATTAGCTGAGCACTGTGTTTTCATTAGATTCCATGTGAGTTGGGTAGGAGAGAAGAGGCACCATTTTCCTGCATGATCAATGGATCTCATGGAAGAATAGGGAATTTCTAGAAGTTTTAAAAATACCTTGGAAGCTTGGGGCAATCTAAAAACTAGTTGTTGAGTCAATTCCACATCATGGCGACTCCATGTATATCAGAGTAGAACTGTGCTCCTTAGGGTTGTTTTTTTTAATTAAATGTTTTTATTTTGCATTGAGTGAAAGTTTACAGGGCACATCATCGGCTTCACATTCAACCATTCATATAGCTTGTTTCATTACATTGATTATTATCCCCTCCATATATCATTAGTTTACAGTGTTTCTCTCTATCCTCTTTAGCTTTTTTTTCTTTTGGATGGGGTGGGGGTTGATCCTTAGGGTTTTTAATGGCTGATTTTTTGGAAGTAGATTGCTGGGCTTTTCTTTGAAGATACCTCAGGGTAAACTTGAACTTACAACTTTTCAGTTATCCACTGAGCTCATTAGCACTTTGCATCACCTAGGGACTCCTGGGGCAGTCCAGCCTATACTGCTTAAGCTTGAGGAGATCACATTTCATTAGATGAATTCAGGTGAGATACCTCAGGTTAGTTTCAGACCTCATATAGTCTTGCTGAAATGGACCAGCAGTCTGGGCATGAAGAGAGGTAGGTCCCTGCTGCACTTCAGCTACATGACATGACTGAACTCTGTTGCCTTTTGGGTCTTCCAAAGGAAGGTCAAATGACAACTAGATAAATGTTTGCTATAAGTAGCTCTCAAAGCAAAGGGTTTTTCCCATCAAAGATAACTTTATTTTAAAACTTACACTGTATTTTTGTCTGTATCTCCATTTAGAATAGGAAGATGGACATGTCCACAGTAAGATGTGTGTAGCTGTTCTTAAAAAATAAGATAACTGTCAGTTTCACTGCTATGACCTCAGATTCTAGAATATGAAGGTAATATTCTTTGTAAGAAATCTTTCACTCAGGATTGTACCTATGCTTAGAATTAGTCAACTAACTGTCAGAGGGAAAGGATAACTCTAGTGACAAGAAAACATCTCTCGCTATGAATTGGTTTGGAAGTTATTTCTCTGAGTGTCCCGAGAATGTCTCTTTACTCAACACTCAGTCACCTCTGTTACTTTCATTCATATCATCTGAAGATGAACCACATTTTATTACCAACTTGAGGTAGGGAGTAGGGTGACAAAAATTTTTTTTTCTTAACTTTTGCTCTTTAGTTGGAATATCAAATCAATCTCTTCTTATAAGGAGCCAGGGGAAAGAAGCTGATTCCAGTAAATTATCAAAGAAAACTGGGCTTGGGAAGAAAGTGGTTGTTATCCTTTCCCATGAGTACTTGAAAATGGGGCAACTGATTAGTTACTTCAGGCCCTGCTTGGCTGGTGAAAAGAGAATGGCTGGCTTGGGTAGAAGAGTGTCTCTTTATTCTCAACTGAAGATGCTGAACCCTGACCAAATAAGTTTTTTTTCTTTTAGCTCCCAGTAATTTCTACCCTTTGAAATCAGAACTCAAGGGGTTTGGCTTCAGTGAAGAGTCTGAAATAATCAAGGAGGCATGAATGGAGGGCAGAATGAATGTAGTGCTGCAAGTCTGATTAAGGAAGAGATGCTAGGACAGTGAAGTGAGCCCCCCAGGCTGAAGTACAGGCATCTCGGGACAAGCAGTGGGAAACATGCTTAGCTGCTAGAAGAGAAGCAGGATAGAGTGAGGTCAGAAAGAGAAAGGGTGTATATCTCATCCATCTGCCAACACTGTGATTTGGTAAGATCAGATCAAACTAGAATGTCTGCAGTTGTCCTCCTGTCTCTTGCCAGTTGAAGTTTCCCTTTTCTTCTGAGGACTTGCGTGAGTGACCCTCTGGTTGCCTGGGGTTAGTCTGGTTTTAGCACTGAAAGTTTCCCATCCTGGGGGGGAAACTTCAGTCCTTGACAAACTGGGACCATGGGTCACTCTGGTTACACTTCAAGATATGTGGGTAGCACACACGACAACAGAGAAACTGCTTTCTTAGAGATGTATATAACTAGCCTGAGTATGCGCAGGATCATTAAGCTACAATAAACCTAATAATTGCCACTGGCTGCATGTCTACTATGTCCTAAGTCCTCCTGGCAATTGAGAAGCTAGGATATTTTTGTCCCAATTTTACAGAGGAGGTTAAGGGCTAAGGGCTACAATCAAAGGGATTTCCCCACCAAATATTAATTGGATTCCCCTCCCCCCCCATATATCTTCAATAGTATCTCCCTTTAGATAAATAAGTTGCGTTTTCAGAGGTCAAACAGCTAGAATGTAGTCGTCATATTTGAACCTTAGTGTGTCTGAATCTAAAGTCTATTCTTTTCACTGAATGAAGAACTTACTGAACTTGATGGTAAATGGGCAACTGTTCTGATTTAGCAGAGCTCTGAAACCATCAGTGTCACCCACTGTTTCCAAACTCATTTCTAATCTTCATGGTGGTGTAAGATTCTGTGAGAATCTTACAGAGCTAAAAGTTGTCTAGGAAGTTGCATTAGCTACTTTAGCCCTGAAACAATCATTCTATGCTTAAAGAAACCATTGAGTGCCTGGTACATAGAAGATGCTTAGTGAAGAAGAGCTGTGATTGTTATTTTAATTACATGACACAGGAGCAATAATTTTGAATGGAAATGTTTTAGCCTATGCATGTAAATTCAAATATTTTAATATACAATTCCCCAAAGATCTAGGGTATTATGGAAAGAAACTCAATAACATGCTTCTCCTTGAATTCAAAATTAGATACATGCACAAACCTAACTTTTTTTTTTTTTTCATCAAAGGAAAGTTATTTGATTTGGAATAGATAGAAGACAGGTTTCTGTGCTGTAATACAAGGTTTTATCCATATAATGCTGAGATAGAAGGAAAAAAATTCTATTTTAGGAATGCAAGCTGTAAATGGTTCATTTAAAGGGAAAATATAATCTGGATGATCAACACTAAGAAATCCCACCATTGAAATCAGAGATGATTAGACGCTTTTACTATAACGATGGAGGCCCTAAATTGTGGGCATCACATTGCGAGGTGAATTTCTTGAATTGTGTGGAGAGATGCAGGAAGCTTTTAGGATACCCTTTGCTTTTATTTAATCAATTCACACCTGAGAGTTGTGTCTTTACTAGAAAATGAAATACAGCTAAGTCAAATAATTCATAGAGGAGGACTCTAATAGAACAAAGAGACTTGGGAATTCAGTTTGATCAAATTCAG